AAATTACTAATTGTTTAGAGTTCTTTAAAAAATAAACTCAGTTGAAATTTATTACTTCTATGATTTAAAATATTAGCGAAATAGACATAAATAAGAAGAATTATTCAAATGATAACTCTAATTAAACAAGAAAGGAATTAATTAAAAAAATAACTTAGGATTAGTACATCATTGAATTTTTGAAATTCCTTGTTTAATTGACATCTATTGACGAAAGATTAATCTAATGCGGATCGAATGCTCTGAATATATTGGTTGAAATGAAGGTAGATTTGAGAGAATAATGTTTTGAAAATATTAAGATAAAAGATACTTCTTTAATTGGTGGAAATTTTGTAAGATGCAATTTGAATGAATCAGAATTTGATAATGTGGATATAAGTGGAGTTAATTTAAATTAGGCTTAATTGTTTAATTGTAAATGGAAAAACATCAAAATTCATGAGTTAAATAGATTAGATGGTCATTCATCAGCAGTATAGTCAGTCAATTTCTCTCCTGATGGTACTACATTAGCATCTGGTGGTGGAGATTGTTCTATCCGATTGTGGGATGTTAAGACAGGATAATAAAAAGCCAAATTAGATGGTCATTCGCGTGTTAATTCAGTCAATTTCTCTCCTGATGGTACTACATTAGCATCTGGTAGTGAAGATAATTCTATCCGTTTATGGGATGTTAAGACAGGATAATAAAAAGCCAAAATTAGATGGTCATTCGCATTATGTTTATTCAGTCAAATTTCTCTCCTGATGGTACTACATTAGCATCTGGTAGTTCAGATAACTCTATCCGTTTATGGGATGTTAAGACAGGATAATAAAAAGCCAAATTAGATGGTCATTCAGATTATGTAAGATCAGTCAATTTCTCTCCTGATGGTACTACATTAGCATCTGGTAGTGATGATAACTCTATCCGTTTATGGGATGTTAAGACAGGATAATAAAAAGCCAAATTAGATGGTCATTCGCATTATGTTTATTCAGTCAATTTCTCTCCTGATGGTACTACATTAGCATCTGGTAGTGATGATAACTCTATCCGTTTATGGGATGTTAAGACAGGATAATAAAAAGCCAAATTAGATGGTCATTCAGATTATGTAAGATCAGTCAATTTCTCTCCTGATGGTACTACATTAGCATCTGGTAGTGATGATAACTCTATCCGTTTATGGGATGTTAAGACAGGATAATAAAAAGCCAAATTAGATGGTCATTCAGGTTATGTTTATTCAGTCAATTTCTCTCCTGATGGTACTACATTAGCATCTGGTAGTTCAGATAACTCTATCCGTTTATGGGATGTTAAGACAGGATAATAAAAAGCCAAATTAGATGGTCATTCAGAAGCAGTTATATCAGTCAATTTCTCTCCTGATGGTACTACATTAGCATCTGGTAGTTGGGATAACTCTATCCGTTTATGGGATGTTAAGACAGGATAATAAAAAGCCAAATTAGATGGTCATGAATATGAAATTCTATCAGTCAATTTCTCTCCTGATGGTACTACATTAGCATCTGGTAGTGCAGATAACTCTATCCGTTTATGGGATGTTAAGACAGGATAATAAAAAGCCAAATTAGATGGTCATTCAGAAGCAGTTATATCAGTCAATTTCTCTCCTGATGGTACTACATTAGCATCTGGTAGTTATGATAACTCTATCCGTTTATGGGATGCTAAGACAGGATAATAAAAAGCCAAATTAGATGGTCATTCATCAGCAGTATGGTCAGTCAATTTCTCTCCTGATGGTACTACATTAGCATCTGGTA